ATCAAGGAGCAGTCGGATTCTCCTAAAAATCCGTATTTAGAGGTTTTTGGGGTTGCTGATAACGAATCTGGAATCATAATCCTAATATTCAAAATGGTAGATCCAAAATGGCGGACATATTTGTCAAAAAATTGACGGAATAAATTGACAATCACCATACTGGGTTTTTGGGGTCGCTGATAACGAATCTGGAATCAGAATGTCAAAATTTAAAATGGTAGATCCAAAATGGCGGAAATATTTGTAAAAAAAATTGACGGAATTAATTGAAAATCACCATACAGGGGTTTTTGTGGTCGCTGATAATGAATCTGGAATCAGAATTCCAAAATTCAAAATGGTAGACCTCAAATGGGGGACATTTTTATCAAATATTGTCGAAATTAATTAAAAATCTGTAAGGAGTTCTTTTTAAAATGTCATAAAACATCTTTTTATAAAATAGCTTAATTAAGTTTATTTTAATTACATTTATATGATATTATTTAATACCTACAATGTAGGTCCTACATATATATTAAACAATCTCCGTCACTGGAGTCGCTCGCTGTATCATTAGCAGAGCATGGAAAACCATCAGAAGATAGCAACAGTTTTATTGCTTCGCGGGACAAAGATTTGCACCTTTTCGGAGCAATTTTTCTAAAGCTAAAAATATACGGATATAAGCCAATGGAAAACATCTTCCATCGTTTTCTCCCGAGAAACTTTCAAAATTTATTTATAAAATTTAAATAAAACAGATTTTATACTAAGTATTTTAAATTTGTATTATTTCTTTTACTAATTATTTTAGCAACGATATTTTAATTCCCTAAAAAAAAATTGTGAACACAAATTGTTTTAACGCACCTACAAGAGGTGGGTTAAATATGTAAAATCGGTGTTAAATATCTTAGTAGTCACAAACGATTTGCGCAAGTGACAGTCTAGACACCGCTGTTGTAATAAACGTTTTGAGTTAAATCCGAATGAATCGAGTAAACGTCATGAACGCAACCCAGAAATCTTATATTTTGTAAAGCAAAAACACAGATACGCGCTCGACATAGGCTTAAAATCGCGAGGTTTTAAAGAGCCGGGGGCAAGTTGGGGCAGCTAATTTATTGATAGCTTGATAGGCCAAACTCTAAGCTATTTAACGGATCTTGAACTGATGCCTTACAATTCATTACAATTTTTGTAGCTCCATTGTTCTAAGAGCTCGATTCAAAGTTTGCGATTTTAACAGACCGATCTTGTCGGTTACAATAACCCGTTGTACAAGCAAAATCTACTAAAAACAAATACATATCTGAATTTTAGATACCTTGAAGATCACCCTTCATCAAACCGCAGAACAATCGGACACACCAAACACAAGCTATTCACTTTTAAACAATAAACAATTTTCCGCAGCGATCGCGTGTAAGGTACCTTCAACTGAAAGTGTCAAGTTTAAACTGATGTACAAGACAAAATATACGTATTTTATATATATTTTTTTTAATACAGGATGAAGACAGGTATTAACTACCCATCTTACTCAAAATTTACCTGAAAAAAAAGTCAATTTTTGAGATTTTGCCGATATTTTCCAGAATTGAAACACTGTGCGCCGCGGCGATTTTTTAATCCAATAAATAAAATTAACTTATTATTTTTAGAACATTTTATGAACGGGTCCAATTGACCTCCGCGACGGGGATTTCTTTTAAATATTATTTAGTTGCTGCTGAGTAGCAGTAGATACATCTTAAAATGTATAATGGGTTGCATACAATACTCTCTAATAAATCGGCTGTAAAGTTCTACTTTACTGCCGATTTCTTTTACTTTACTGCCGATTTCGGAAAAAAATAATTATTTAATTTAACTAATTAGGGAGCATGGAAACTAAGCAACAAAATAACGTATCATCATATTTAACATGTGATTCCACATGTTGGTAATTCTACATATTAGTGGCTACGTGCTATTGTTGCCTAGCTCCCAATTTATTATGTATGAAATAATAAGAGACAAAGTAAAACGGTAATCAAAAATAAACAATAAATTTTGATTTTTCGATTTAACAAAATACTAAAATATTTTTATATATATACAGGGTGTCCCAAAGTCGCACACCACCTTAAAGGTTAAAATTGTTAAAAAAATTCTACCTTTATAATTTAAAAATGTATAAGAGCATAAACCTTGAGTTTTTAAACTTAAATAGTTATTTACCTAACTAGAGCGGAAAGTGCTACTTTTCCGCACGCGACTGCCGTTGAACGAACGACGCATCAGTCGAGTGCGGAAAAGACACTTTCCGCGCGTGGTAGGTACAATATTTTTTCTACAAGCGCATGAAATAATATGGAAAACATTTTATTTTAATATTAATACACAAGACATTTTTTAAATAATAACACAACTATGTACTTAGTCTAATTATTTGTAATATTTATAATAAAACTGCAATTGGTTGCGTTTTGCAAATTTATTGCCAATGCTAAGATGTCAGATGTTGATGGCAAACTAAGGCTTTTTTCTTCTGGGTGATTTCCTAGCAAAGAACATGCTGACTGACTGGTATTTTGCATGGGCATGGAGCTGCTTACACTTGCTAAAATTTTATTGGATATTTCTTTCTTATTTTCCACCGATTGCTCTATGTACCCCTCTGCCACGCTACTGGATTTCCAGCCTCCATGCCGTTTTATACATGTAATATTTGCACCTGAATCAGCAAGTATAGTCGTCGAAGACCGTCTAAAACTGTGCCCAGTATATTTCTCGGAATTTGGTAGGTGCAGAAACGTAGCAATTTTTAAAGGTATTTTGCCAATCATATTGATACCTACGCATTGCGTAGTACATTTGCCATGAACGTATTTAACGAAAAATCTTCTATGTGGTGTATTTGTAGGACGCAGTTCAGAATATTTTCTATAATAATTAAGGTACATACCATCGTTCAACTCATTAGATATAACAAAGGTTCGTTTCGTATGGGTTTTTGTGTCAGGAATACTGATCACTATTAAGTTCCCTTTATCTTCGATGTTATCTACTGTTAAATAGGCCAATTCTTCTCTACGACACGCTCCAGCCAACCCAAATATAGTAGCGACTTTCATTAAAAGATAAATATCATCGGGTGCCTCATTAATAAATTTGGAAATTTAATTTTGAGTGAATATTTTTGATTTTTTGGTCGAAAAACAACATTTTGACGTTTTAAATAAGCTGATAGCAAATCTTCCTATGTCAACATTATTTCTTATTTTAATTACCGCCATTAACATCGAATATCGCGACCAAAGAGTCGATGGTTTACTAATTTTGCTGGCCTCTGAAAAATAGGCTAGAAGAATTTCTTCTTTAATTCCTTGGAGGTTTTTTTCGCTCCATTGCTTAAATATGTTGAATTCTTTTTCGTATCTCGCCCGTGATTTTTCAGGAAGTAATTCCAAGCTGGCTTTTTTTGCTTCTTCCAGGATAGACTCGGGAATCTCGTAATTTTCACTTTCACTTTCCATTTTTAAACTCAAAACCTTGACGTTTCAGGACTTAATTAAGGTATAATGTACAGAATGTTTAAACAATGGTTTTAATAATAAATAAATAATAAAATCTAGTCATTTAATATTAATATTTTTTAACTGCTATTACATAATATTGCCATTATTTGTTTTCCGTAAATAATGGCAACCAATATAACCGCCCAGCCTAACAACGGGAATAATGAACTCATTATTCACGTTGTTAGGCATCAGTAATTGGCTGATTTCAATTTTCACTGTTATTTAAACCAATCGAGTTAATAACAAGGTTGTATGTTAAAAAAACGAAAAATTTAAGTCTATGTTTCTACAGGAGTATACGTGGCCTACGCTTCACATACCACTTTCGGTTTTTAACATACAACCTTGTTGTATTAGGGTGACGAGATGTCATTTTAATATAGTTGTTTGTTGTCATGATGATTTAGAATTAAACTACCACGCAATGTTGCCATTTAACAAAATATGTACCCTTGTATTTTTTAAATAACGAAGGTAGAATTTTGTAAACAATTTTCTGGGATTCCTTGGGGTACCTTCAAGGTAGTGCACGACTTTTGTGTATGGGACTTTCCATGTCAATTGCAGGTGTATAGTATACTATAGAACCGAAAAAATTAAAAAATCTAAAATTTCACAATTTTTATTAATTTCTGCGGATTTTAGAGTATAAACAATAAAAATAGAGAGTTTTAAAATATTTCCAAAATTAAACATTGGAATAATTTAAAAAAATTCACACATACATTAAGCTGCCTTTGAAAAATAAAATATTGTCGGTATATTCTTTAACGAATTATAAAATTGCCAAGAGCAAGAAAGTTTTTAAATTGACAGAATGATAATTTTATACAAATCAAACTTAATTAACATGTAAACGTTTTTATTTACGAATTTTATACAACAGAGTACAGCGTTAATTCTCTAAAAAAATAGATATTTTCAATTGTTGTCGGTATATTCCTTAACGACTTATAAAATTGCAAAGAGCGAACAAAATGTGTCCCATGTTATTTCCATAGGAAACTTTGATCTTAGAGTTAGAGATATAAAGAGCTCAAATTTTCAGAGAATTTTTATTATTTTAAAAGCGTTTAAGCCCCTAGAAGCATAGCATTTCAAAAACACCTCAAATAAGAACCACCCTAGTAAATGATCATATATAATTTAAAATTTAAACTCGTTGTATTATGATGAAACAATGGTACCTATAGTTTTTAATTATATAATATATTTATATATAAGAATGGTACCTTATTTGATTTACTAATTGAAAAACAGCAACCAACAAAAGCTAATGTTAACAGTTAAAATTATTTCAAAATTATTATTTTAGATTTAGAATTAAACTAATCCTGCTTATACAATATATTCGTAATTATGCATGTTACAAAATTCTGTCGTGCAGAGTAGTTTAACACAATTAAACAAAACCATTTAGTTAGTTTTGGAGATATTTAATTAAGTTCTCACCTTGATGCGTGACGATAAATAAATGCTCGTCGTGGACAGGATGTTTGTTTTGCACGCTGAGCAACCTTTGAGCTCCCAGGACCTTGTCGAGCATTAAATATTCCCCATACAGCATTCCTGCTTCCTCGCCTAATTGGTCGCCTTCTTGGGCAGGGTCGCTAACATAACAAGAAAACATATTGTCACATGGGTTAAATATATTATTTACCTATATGGCCTATTTACAGAGTTTGTGTTATTCTTGCTGACATGTTAGTACATGTACAACAATGCTATTCATGAGTTGACGACCATAAGCGAATAAAATCCTAATAAAATATATAAACTGCTCTTCATAAAAATCGACGCACCTAGTTTTTTGGAAAATATTTGAAAGCTCGTTATTGAAAAATTACTGAATGGATTTTGAAAATCTTTGAAAATTCTGAATAGCTAATTCTTTCACTCTTATGTCTAATTTTGGGAATACGATATTTTGAACATAGCATTATACTACAGAGTGTTAAACGAAGAGATGAATTTTTTCCGAAATTTCAAGTTATTCCCATTCATGAGGCAGTTGAGTTTGATAGTCGTAATACCCCTCCCTAATATAAGTAAGGTAATCTCTCGGAACGTTTTCGAGATTTTGTGAATATCGCGGCTTACTACGATTATATGCCAATTTATCGAAAATTGTCGTTATTTCCCAGTTTAGTCCAAAAAATGAGCAATAGTGGATTCTTTGACTAACGTCTAATTTTGAGAATACGATATTGTGCACATAGCATTCTACTACAGGGTGTTAAAAAAAGAGATGATTTTTTTCCAAAATTTCAAATCCCCATTCACAGGGCAGTTGAACTTGATAGTCGTAATACCCCTTCCTAATAACAGTTAGGTAATCCCTCGGGACGTTTTCGAGATTTTGTGGATATCTTGGCTAACTACGATTAAATAGCAATTTTTCGAAAATTGTCGTTATTCTCCACTTAATTCCCAAAAATGAGCAAACTACGAAAGGTATCGATTAGTTATCAACACATCGTTTCCCCAATTTGCATGTTCTTGTGCCCATCTTCTTCTAGCAGAAAAAGAGGGCAGGCAGCTCCTCGTCTTGCGTGGTATGCACTCTTACATCCGTCATTTTATTTTTTTAAATGTGTTTTGCTGTTTGAAAAATGTTTTCATATTCGACGACAAAAATGACAAGAATAATTGAAGAAAGGAAACTCAAAACCAGATATGCGCCATATTTTTTAAACTTTCATAGTCAACCGTTTGTAGAAAATTGCATGAATATAGCCTGCATAAGTTTACGAGAATAATTTTGTTTGGTTTGCGTTCTTATTTTGAATTTAACCAAAAAATATTGGTTTTGTGTAAAACATTTCACTTTTAATGAATCACGCAACGTACATGAAGTGGAAGCACGTGACCTACCTTAAAACGCTGTGTTGATACCTTCTGTAGTTTGCTCATTTTTGGGACTTAAGTGAAGAATAACGTGAATTTTCGAAAAACTGCCATATAATCGTAGTTATCCAAGATATCTACAAAATCTCGAAAATGTCCCGAGGGATTACCTAACTGTTATTAGGGAGGAGTATTAGGACTATCAAACTCAACTGCCCTGTGAATGGGGATTTGGAATTTTGGAAAAAACATCTCTTTTTTCAACAACCTGTAGTATAATGCTATTTGTACAATATCGTATTCTCAAAATTAGACGTAGGTCAAAGAATCCACTATTGCTCATTTTTTGGACTAAACTGGGAAATAACGACAATTTTCGATAAATTGGCATATAATATCGTAGTCCGAGGGATTACCTTACTAATATTAGGGAGGGGTATTACGACTATCAAACTCAACTGCCTCATGAATGGGAAAAACTTGAAATTTCGGAAAAAATACCTGTAGTATAATGCTATGTGCAAAATATCGTATTCCCAAAATTAGACATAAGAGTCAAAGAATCAGCTATTCAGAATTTCCAAAGATTTTCAAAATCGATTCAGTAATTTTCCAATAACAAGCTTTCAAATATTATCCAAAAAACTAGGTGCGTCGATTTTTATGACGAGCAGTTTAGTTGGATATGGATTCAAGAACTAAATCGTTGCATTTTCATGTTTTGCCAAAGGATCCAATTCTGTACGTATATTTGATGGTGCAGAATTGAAAACATAAATTTATATTTAAGTTTTGACATTTAAAAAAAATAATAGTTGTACAAACATAACCTTAAAATTAAACATTTTTATATTTCATAATATTATTTATAATACATAATATAATAACAATATGATTGTTTACCGTTGAGTGAAGACTTTCTTAATCAACGCTTTTAATAATGCATTACGCTGTTTAAATTTAAAAGACTTTTTTACGTAAATCAATACTAAAATGTGTTTTTTTATTGTATCTGATAGGTACAATTTATGTATACTGTAAGCAATTTATTTCTTCATTCGGATTTCCACTGTTTATTGGGAAACCGGTAGAAATTTTAGGATTTCCTCTCAAAAAACACCCAACAATACAACAAATCCTTTTACAGTTTTTTCTCAATATTTTTAACATTTTCCGGTCTTATTCTCAAAAACACTCGTTTTTAACATAATATGTGTTATATTATGTGTTAGACAGCTGCTTATTAAAAGTTGTAAAGGCCACGGCGCTACTAGCCATGCTTCTTTAGCGTATACCTTTTCAACTTTAAATTGAGTCTTGTCAATTTTAAATTAAGACTAATCAAATTCATGTTGGGAACGAGCGGAAATAGCATTTCGCCCTCCGGTTAAAGTTAAAGAAATAAACAATATAAATAAGGTTAACCTAATATTTTTACGTTTACACTCAATGTTTACGCTTTAATAGGTTTTTAAATAATAAAGGTATAATTTTTTTAACAATTTTTGGGACATCCTGTATACAGGGTGTCCCAGAAAATGTGGGCCATCTCCCGGATTTAGATAGAAAACAAAAATAATATGACTAGTTCCTATACATTTTTTTCCTACGGCCCCCTCTAGGGAGATACTGATCCATAATGGACGCCCCTGGAAAGAAGAAAAAAGATCGAAAATTTCAAAACAACTTATTTTCAACTCTAGAGCTAGTCCGTCCCTAGCAAACTAAACAATCCGAATGTGACTAAAAGTGCCCATTTTAAGGATTTTTCCTAGTAAACAATATATTAAAATAGTATATTCTGTAACAAGTTTGGAATACGGCATATTCCGCTCGAATGAAAAGTTTGTCACACGAGCCGAAGGCCAGTTTGACGGTTTCACGAGAGGGGAATATGCAATTCCAAACGTGTTTCAGACTATACTTTTTCTACGTTTCCAAAAAATACCACAGACAAATAATTTAATTGGAAGAAAGTGAGGTTGGATCGGTCTAAAATTTGTTAGATATTAAAAACAGAGATGTCGCCACGAGTGTATATTCTGTCATAAGATGATAGAATATTTCATTCTGTAACACTTTAAGGAATAAATGTCATTCCATAGATAAAAGTGATATTAGAACGGTCATATTCCATAATAGGAGTAGAAAAATATTATTAAATTCCACCTAGTAGTTTAAAAGTTATTTAAAAACAAACGATTTCCAGGCGTTTCCGTTATGAGACCGTATCTTCGTAGGGGGGGCCGTAGAAAAAAATAAATAGGAACTTATATTATTCATTAATCCATTAATTTATCTACAATATGCTTTAATAATCGTTTAAATCGGACATCAAATAAAAAATTTAGTTGAGATTGAAATTCATCGAATATTTGTGTGGATGGATTATTTTGCCTGTGAGTGTGGGTGTTTCTTTTAACTTGAGACAGCTCAATATCCCGAGAAATACGCGTTTCACGAAAAAATGTCTTAAATAAAATATTAATGTGACCAAAGGGGACATTATTTGATGCTACCGCTACCCCCTACCCCTCCTTAATGGTGAAACGGGGGTAACTTTGGAAAGTCAAAAGGGATGACTCGATCTTTTTCACAGATTTTGGTAGTACATAAAAAATGTATAACTTTTATTTAAAACTTTTTTCAATTTATCACCAGATGGCGCTGTAATTCAAAATTAAAAAAATAGGGTTGTAAAATGTATTATTTGAAACGTTTGAAAAACAAAAATTAACATTAAATCAACAATAGTCGGCTCTGAAAACAATTTATAACAAATGTCGTCCTTCCATTTTGACACATATATATTAATTAAATATATAAATTTTAATTGCTCATTTATTTATATAAACAAAAACAATTTATTTAAAATTATAATGCCGATCATAATTAATTTCGTATCAAATGCGGTGAAAATGATATAAAACACGATCAGGTATTTAAATTGTATTGCAAATATTGAATTAATAAACATTGGTGACAAAACTTATATTAAAAATCTCAACTTACCCAAACAAAATATTATGTTTTTTATATATAATATTATTATTATTTATATTGGTCCGCCAACCTATCGAGTACAACTCACGATTAATCCCGGCGCATTCGCCATTTTTAGAACTATTGTCTGGTTCTAATCTTGAAATTTCTAATAAACCTTGTTCAGAAAAGGATTTTAGAATTATTTATTTTATTTTTTTTGTTTATTTACTTCCTATAAATGTTTCGTCTGTGTATGCTGGGTTGCATACAGTTGCATGCAAAATTGTTTATTTGGGTATTTTATAGTTTTTTGTGGAAATAATGCGAGTGTAAGTAATAAGAGTGTAAACGGTAGCACTCAAAAGAGAGTCTAGTATAGTAGTAGTATAGATAATTCGAGAATTAAACGTGCTAATAATAAAAATTGTTGTAGATAAATTATGTGAATAGTTAAAGGGGCAATAGTTACACTGATTGAATCGTGGAATTGTGGAAGAAGCTAGCTAGCAAAGAAAATTGACAACAAGTTAAAAGTAACGGCCCAACAAACGTATTCTAAATAATGTTTTTAATATACATTTTTTAAATTCCCAAGAATAACTGAGTTGTAATGATTTTTGGTTTTGACACATATTTAGTTTTTTTCCAATTATTTGAGAATGGCTGATGTCATTTTATTAGACTTGTAATAACCCAACTTTTCTATAACCAACCGTGTAGCTCTTTAAATAAAAAAGATACCCATTCATAGAAGGATACTTGCGGCACCCCGTATATT